CAGCTCAGTAAGTCCGCTCGGAGTAGCTGTAGAAGCCAAGTCTGAAGCTGACTGTCTTTTTTTTCTGTCGAAATAAGTCTCACGAGTGCTGGTATCTGATCCAGACCCAAAGCAAATACAGAGAATTCCCCGTGAGGCCGAACTCGTGCGTTTTGGCCTGCCTTAGCCAGGCAGTAGGAAGGGCAGGGGGTGCTTTGCAAGGGGATCTGTCCGTGTCTGCGGCAGAGACACGTAATTGACTCCGGGCACAGCACCGGTCAAGGGCAGGGGGTGCTTTGCAAGGGGATCTGTCCGTGTCTGCGGCAGAGACACGTAATTGACTCCGTGCACAGCACCGGTCCGTGCACAGCACCAGCGGGCAGTGTTGCGGTCAGTGCACAGCACCAGCGGGCACAATCATCCAACCACCAGATTTTTTCAAAGCCGCCTCTCTGCCTGTCATGTTTTCATTCAAGTAGCTTCTCATAACTTCGAAGAACTTGCTGACCAGCAAAGACCCCCCCATCTCCTCCAAATGTCTCTGTTGCTTTACAAAATTCTTGATAGCATTGGATTGTTACCTCTCCTGTCATGCTGGCCAGTTCTCTCTTGTTGCTGCAAACACTCTGTGTGCTGTGTTTTGTCTGAATAAGCTTTGTTATTTGTATTCTTGCACAGTACGGATTTTGACTCAGGCATTGAGATTGTAGGCCCTACCATAACACATTACTAATAAAAGCAGTGATAATAAAACGTGTCAATATTTTCTATAGGAACCCAAATAAGCTATTCCCTGCTGCAGTTGAATACTTGATAAGCTTTGTGGTTTAATGAATTAACTGCTCATTCAATGCTACTTTTAAATTCAGTGTCATTTATAGGATGGAGCATTAAATTTACGTTTCAGTGGGATGTAATTTTATTGTGCCATGGTTAGTGATGTTAATTTCATGTAGATAATCCTCACAGTGTGCTTCCACTTGGAAGAGCCAAGTGAGACTGATGTGAGTGTTCTTTCATTTTTTTATAGATTCCATTTGTGCTCGTCTTCTTCCAAGGGCAAAACAGATTCTATTATCATCTGACTCAGAGGCAGTGGTATCCCATCCTCAGGAGCCTCAGAGTCTGGATGGCTCATCACCTGCCAGTCAGTGTTTCCCTGTGTACTGGCCTCACCAATGTGAAGTTATCAGGGACAGAACTGAGCACATTGGTAAGTTACCGTGTTACACTTAAAATCTTGGGTATAGGCAAAGGGGAAGCACACCTTATATATAAATAAAGTCAATGATTTATTGTTAGTATAAGTGAAATCCTAGGAGGCAAGTCATTATTAGTTCACATCTAATTGCTACAGAAAAAATAATAATGCAGTTAAATTTGTTGTACGTATGATTCACTCACATCCTTTTCCTGGCTTCTTCTTACACTGCTCCTCTAGGTCCTAAGATCAATGGTTTCATTGCAGAGGTTTCGTTCTAATGGAGGAGAGGAATTGTTTATTGTGAATTGTCAGCTTCTGGAGTCCTTTGCTGGGAGAAATACAGTGTTCATGTTGATGATATCTTCTTCCTCACTCTAGTATCCAAATAGCTCTGGGGTCATTTTCATGTTTGCTTTCTCTTTCTTCATCAGTCTGCAGCTCCATGTTACATCCGGATTTACCATATAGGTGTTCTTTATATAAATTAGATATTATTTCCTTGTTCTCTTTATTACCCCTAGAACAAGTTTTGTCCAGCTCTAAGTCTGCATTTCTACACTGCTTGTTATTTCTGTTCATATAAGCCTATGGTTGTACCATGTAAAGATAAACAAAAGTAAAACAAATTAGCCATATATACCTGGTTAAATAAATTACTGTCACAGCTAAATTAAGTGAAACAAAGCTGCAGGTAGATAAAGTTCAGACAGAGCAATCAATGACTTCACTCTGTAGCTGGAGCGTCTGTTTTCCTAATGGTACCAATGCTGTCTAATGTTCACCATTGTCATCCTCACTGGTGGTAAGCAAGCTGTACAGGGAACAGTAGTAAGTTTGCACAGCAGAAGTTTGTCTGTGCACATACTGATTTTTTTTTTTTTTTTTAATTTGGAGTTATAGTGAAGATTTGTTCACAGATGAAAAAAATGAAGTTAAAAAAAGGAGCTTCCCTATTCCTTTATGTGCAACTAGTATAAATGGGGTGAACTGCTTTTCAGTGTCTCTCATATTAAAAAGACTCTAACACAGTCTTCCTGCTTATACTCCTGTGTGTGTCTCCTTTTTCAGATTGGATACCCACCACCCCTGAGCCATTGTACGCTCCAACAGGTTTGGAGATGATGCCACCATACCAAACCCCTGACAAAGGCACTGTGATTTATCTAGAAGAAGGTGAGAACACCCTGAGAAATCTTTCTGTCAGTTGTAGGTAGATGAAGCACCTGCTTTGATCTCCTTTATGAACTTAATTCAAAGCCTGATGAAATCAATATGATTTTCTGTTGTTATTTTAAAGCACTTGGGAATAAATTATTTTCCTGTAGATAGGGAAGGAAATTACACAGCTGTCTCATCATCCATAAGTTCTGTTAGTGATCTCAGAAATCCAGCTCAGCTCAAGCCATTGTTCTCAGTGAATAACAGTATGAACCAGCCTAAAATTTGCTGTGAAAATATGAGTGGAGAAAAATAATTTAGCAGCCAAAAGAGAAAATTAAAAAGATGAGAGCTGTTTAACTCTTTGACATCATGTTTATTTCTAAATTAGCTACTTCTGCAGTATGGGTGTATTACCTGTCACTAGTAGCTTGCTACATTTGGTGGCCAAGAAAACTAGTAACTGCTGTGTGACTAGGAAGGAACCTCTATGCTCTGCAGCTGGACCTGCTAATTTTTTGCAAGGGGTAAGATGTGGAGGAACACTCTGAATCCCAGCTCTCTGCCTTTTTGAAAAGGACAGTAATTTTTGTTGTGTTCCTTTAGTTGCTCTTTAAAAATGTAACTTTTCACGTCCTTTATTGCTGACTTGAACTTCATGCACAGATGACTGGAAGTGGTTCCTGTTTCAGCCTGTACAACTCTCCAGTAGAGTGTGTATTTTGGTATCATGGTTCTCAGGTTTCGCTAATGAAAATTCCCAACCAAGGAGGTGAAAACTGCTGCCTTTAAGTATGGCCAGTTGTCCCTTCTGCTCCTGAGGAATGACGTTGTGCAGGCATTTACAGGCAGTTAGCAATTCCTGGGCCAGCAAACATCAAGCTGCAGCAGAATGTGAGTGCCTTTACCTGCCTTTCCCTGCTTGCACCAGGGAGAGTAGACTCCTTGTGCTAAGGGGGCTGTTGGGCACTGCAGCCAACTGGGGATGGGAGCAGGTGGGAGGAGGAGGAGGACTTTGGAGTCCTGTGGAGTTCATCTTCTCCTTTCTGTTCCTGGGACAGAAACCCCCAGCTTGTTCGCTTTGCCATCTAAGTTGGACAGCAATAAATACAATTTTTAAAACCCTAAAATTCTCCTCACAGAGAAGCTCTATAGGGTAGGACAGGCATCTACTTTATGCAGATTTGTGACCTGAGTGCCTCAAACTGGCTTGTAATGAGCCATCGCATCTTGTGGGAGACAGCAGCAGCACTCTCCTGATTTCCTCTCAGTTTGAACTTTTTTTTTGCAGGAGCTGGGAGTTACTGCCTGCCTGGGAACTATCTGCTTCTGAGTTCCTACAGGTCCTCCTAAAATCGGGCTTGCAAAAGAAAAATACAATCTAATGGTGAGTCCCACCCAGAAGAATTAAAATATCATGATAGAGATCTCAAATTTTATGCATGCATTTCATTTTATAGCATTTGACTGATACAGATGTTTCCAGAAACAGTTTTACTAGATTAATTATTGAAATATTTATCTTCCTTAATGTTAAGGAAGAGCATTGAGGAGGAAGGGAAGAGTAGAGAAACTGTGCATGAAATTTCAGCTAAGTAGAAAGTAATTATTCGAGTGGGTATCCCAGCCAGCAAAGTGAATAGTCCTTCTCTAATGAAAACCCCTGTGGGTCTGTAGTAGTCTCAGTCATGAAGAACAATACACTGAATATGGCATCTTTTGCATGTGGCAACAGTGATTCAAGGAATAAAAGAAATTATTCTGGGAATCTTGGCTTTACGTAACTTCCCTGGGTAGTACAATCAGAGCTTATTTAACACTACAGAAGAGAAAAAGACAGACAGACTGCCACAGGATAAATCTCTAGCACAGCCCCAGGGAAGCAAGGGCAGACACAACCCTCATCTGAACAGGGGCTGCTGTGCAGCTTTAACCCTGCTGTATTGTACAGGGTCAGTCTCCCTTATTTGACAGCATGGTAAGGTGGCAGTTTCTCCTCAGGAGGATCCAGCAGTAAGAAGATGGAGAGAAGCAGGAATACAGGAGCTGAGAATACAACGGCTTGGCAATCAGTGTCTAGCCATCAGTACAAATCCCTCATTTTGCCAGTTAGAAAGTTATGTAGCAGGAAATTTCACTTCTGGACAGTGAGACAGCCAGTTTGATACCACCAGTATGAAAACCACAGTCTCACAGTACATGGTTCCAGCCTTTTATACCTGCAGTTTTCACCTGTCCTCCTTTTCCCTGAGCTGGCTCTAACCCAAGTTTCAGAGCGCAGCTGGTGCTGCCGGGCTCAGAGAGAGTTGCCAGCACGGCTATATTGACTCTGCAGCAGGGTCTGTGGGCTCCCAGCTTTCAGCAGAAGAGACACATTCTCTCTCTCTATTTTGTGGGCACAGTTTGGGGATGACAGGAAGTTTTGATTACTCCACTTTTCCACACCTTGGTGGCAAAATCTTTCTGCAATCTAAACAGCTCCCCAGCCAGAAAAGTAAATTGTTGCTGATGGCAAATCTAGAAGTTCTATTTTTTCGTGAACTATGGTAATGAAGATTGTAGTAAAAAATTCAGTTATGCCTCTATGAGCATCTCATCTGAGGAACAGTGGACAAGATAGCAGAACAGAGCAAAAGGAGCTATGGGCTCAAAATGCGCTCTAAAAGTGATGTGAAAACATAAGTTGCAATATAAAAGTGGTTGCTGCTGGGTCTGAGTGTCATCTTTTTTACTTCTAGACTAGAATAATTGAATACACAGATGTAAAAACAAACTGATGGCAACAGTTGCCAGCTGCATATGATTTCTGAGTAGAGAAGTTGCCCATTTGACTGGTGAAAAGACCTGAGGGAGCTGAGTCCCAGAGTCTTTCCACCTAACTCAGTACAGAGGATGGATTGCCTTTTGCTCGTACAAAAGAGAGACACGGGCACCTCCAAGAAAGAGTCAGATCTTAAGCTGGCTGAAATCCATAAGGTTAAGTGGGAATGGGCAACAAAATCTTTGTATAATTTCTTTTATGCTTACCTAAGATATGCTTTGAAGGTCAGGTCCATTCAGTTTTCTGTTTCTAGAAGGAATTTTCAGAAGGATGCAGGTATTGCCCAAAATGACTCAAACTGAAGTGAAAGACATCTGTTCTGCTCATTCCCCTAGCTAATAAAAACTCCTGCTTTATGTATTCCCAAGTGAGAAGTCTCTGCCCCCTGAAGCAGATCCTCCATCAGAAGGAGGACAACACACTGATATTTGAAGCACGGTTTGAAAGTGGAAATTTGCAGAAGGTGGTCAAAATGTAAGTTTCTAATCTTTTCTTCTTTTATTAAGATGGAGTTATTATCCAAGTTGTTGTTATCAGCAGCCTGCTATCAGTTTCTGACCAGGATGTGTTATTCTGGGTTTGTAACTTGTTTTCCATAGTTGAATAAGCTTCAAAAGTAGTTTCAAGTAGCCTTCACTTGAAATGATCTGATAGTCATTCAGTAGCACTGAAGGTTTTCTATAGGTGATAATCACCCACACAAACTCAAGACCTTTCTTAAGCACCTCCTTTTAAAGCGTAGTGGGGAGAATGTTTTTAGAAGTCTTGGTTGTTACTAAAAGTCCTAATGAAGACAGCAGTTGCGTTATTGACATGCTTGGTGCAGTTAGGAATCTTTTTCTGGCTGCTGCATAGACTTTGATTTATGACAGCATAAATCAGATTTGCACCTGATTTACTGTGGGGTGCTTTTTCATGGCAGCCCACCTTATTTGACACTATGTCATACTAAAGTGTAAACCAGCATCACAACTACTTGTCTTTTTTCTGCCTACCAGCAGTGAATTTGAGTACCAGCTGACCCTGCGCACCGACCTCTACACAAGCAGACACACGCAGTGGTACTACTTCCAAGTAAGCAATACACAGGCAGGGATGCCATATCGATTCACTATTGTCAACTTTACCAAGAGTAACAGCTTATATAAATGTGGCTTGCAGCCACTGTTATACTCGGAAGCTGATGCTAGGAAACACAAGGTTGGCTGGCGAAGGACTGGAAATGAAATCAAGTATTACAAAAACAATGCGGGCCAAGATGGACATCAGTATTTCTCACTCACTTGGACATTCCAGTTCCCTCATGACCAGGACACCTGCTACTTTGCCCACTGCTATCCTTACACCTACTCCAACCTGCAGGAGTACCTGGTAGCCATCTCTAAAGATCCAGTGAAGTCCAAATTCTGCAAGATTCACATCTTGTGCCATTCACTGGCAGGAAACATAGTGTATGTTTTAACTATCACCAACCCCCCTGAAAGTGGCAGGGGCACCAAGAGGAAGGCTGTGGTACTAACCGCAAGGGTGCATCCAGGAGAAACTAACAGTTCCTGGATAATGAAGGGCTTTCTAGATTACATTCTTGGTGATTCAGGCAAAGCTCAACTCCTGCGGGATAGTTTTGTCTTCAAAGTGGTACCCATGTTGAATCCAGATGGTGTGATTGTGGGAAATCACCGGTGCTCTTTAACAGGCCAGGACCTGAACCGCAAATACAGATCTAACCTGAAGAAATTCTATCCTTCCATCTGGTATACCCGAAACATGATCAAAAGGTAACCTCGTTTTCTTGCCCTTTAGAATAGCTGATTTTCCTTTCCACTGTCTCTTTGTTAGTGTGACTTCTCTATGTTCCTTGTTGTTTTGGTATTGTTTAAATCTTTGTCCTGTACCCAGGCCTTTCTGACTTTTTTGTTTATGTTCAGTTGCATTTCAGAGAGGGTTATTTTTTTCTTCAGTATTGTGCATGTTTTCCTTTAATATGCTTTCTCCAATCCTGGTAATAAGTTGCATCTCCAAAGTAAAAGGCTTTTTGTCAAAGCATTTTCAGCATATTTCTCCCCACTATCCTCTGTCGAAATCTACTTACCAAATTCCTTATTTCTTTCATTTTCTTCTTTTCTGGCATACAACCGCATCCCAGAATGAAGTTAGGTTCAGAACAGATCCCAGATGTCCACTTGACAGCAAAGATTGACAAGTTTGCTGTGTGTTTTGCTACAAATATGTTTGATTTATTATGCAGACCTCCAGTCACAGAGACATTGATACTCTGGATATAAAACTGAACCTTTGATTATTAAACTAAACCTTCAGCAAGTAAACTCAATCTCTCTGGTTTAACTTCTATAACAAATTAATACAAAAAAGACTTGTGCAGAAAGACAGTGTCAGAATTAGTACATTTAATGTTTTTAATTTAGTTACAGCCTGTTTTAAATAAGATCTGTATTCTTTCAAATGAATGTCTTGGCATGTAGATCTCTAGCTTACAGGGGATGAGCTCTGCACCTCTCCTTTTCCATGAGAATTCCTCTCCCTGTCTTACTATATGGAGATAGCCTGCACTTGTGAGTGCACTGTAATTAACATTAATTATGTCTACTGAAGTATGACTGATCTTCAGCCTCATATTCAGCTACTGTCAGCTGAGGGAGACAGGTTTGTTACTGCTTCCTTCTTAGTTCCACCATGGATTTCCAACTCCTGCCCAGAGTAAAGCTCTAGATGACAGGCTGTGGTGCCATCATATTTTCTCTGTAGAGCTCTGCTTTGACACAGATTGGGCATCGGGAGTGTGGGTTGTGAAACTGCAATGTGTCTACCTGCAGATTTTCTTTAAAGAGTTAATTAAGCAATAATACATTGCAGAATCTAGGCACATCATAAACATTGATGTCTCCAGTTTGATAAAGGAAAGAGTATTCACTGCCATTTATGCTTCAATCTCATAATTGTACAGTATGTATATATTATACAGTACATTCAACATATGTACAATAGTGAAAGAGCAGCGGATAAGAATAGCGGGTTTCAGCTGTACAACCTGCTCATATACTCATCTACAGAGCTGGATGTATATAACTGAACCCGAGAGAACAAACACACAGACAAAGGCTGATGATGCATACAGTCATATCTTATTTCTGTGCAGTGACAAGTGATTTGTTCTGGAAGGAACTGAGCACTTTGACTCTAATCTAGCACACTAAAGGTTTAACTTATAGCTCAGAATATGAAACTTGTATTGATTTCTTGCTCTTTAGGTTAGACATGAACTTCAGTATAACTTACTAGCTCAGACTAGTTTCTGAGGTGGAGATAAAAAAAAAAAACAAAACCACTTCTAATAAGGTATTCTATGTTGTCCCGTATTACAGAGTGATGAGGGAACGTGATGTTTTTCTGTATTGTGACATCCATGGTCACAACAGGAAACAAAACGTCTTCATGTATGGTTGTGAGAGAAAGCAGCAAGCAAAAGCACCAAACATGCATCCACGTATCTTCCCACTCTTGCTGAGCAAGAGCTGTCCAGATAAGGTAAGCAAATGTCTGGGTAGAAACTCATCTAAAAATTCAAGCACCATCTGGGATCCCTAATTTTTGTTAAGGTATCACATTTACTAAAAGACTGTACTTCACTGAGTAAAATAATCTTCAGTCGACTAAAACTAGAAATGGTAAGAATATGAAATTTTAAGTCCTTTGAAATTCCAGCACTCCAAAATGTATCATGCTGAATTGGGACATAAAGCTAGCATTTTTTTAAAGGTTTTTTTAAAAGAATGAAAAAAAAAACGAATATCAAAGTAACATTGTTTTAACAGTGTCAAAAACTAACATTAAATATTGTGTACTTATATTAAATGCAGCTTTAAAATATGTTGGAGAATTAAAAACAAGTAAGCAAATAAGAAACTAAAGAATCATAGAATCATAGCATGTTGTGAGTTGGAAGGGACCCTCAAGGATCATCGAGTCCAACTCTTGCCCTAGCACAGGACAATCACAAGATTCAGACCATGTGTCTGAGGGCACATGTTGTCCAAATGCTTCTTGAATATTGTCAGGCTTGGTGCCATGACTACCTCCCTGGGGAGCCTGTTCCAGTGCTCCACCACCCTCTGGATGAAGAACCTTTTCCTAATGTCCAACCTAAATTTGCCCTGGCACATCTTCCTGCCATTTCCCCTGGTCCTATCATTGGTGGCCAGAGAGAAGAGATCAGCACCTGCTCCTCCTCTTCCCCTTGTGAGGAAGTTACAGACTGTGATGGGATCTCCTCTCAGTCTCCTCTTCTCCAGGCTGAACAATCCAATCGACTTCAGCCTCTCCTCATACAGCTTCCCCTCTAAACCCTTCACCAGTTTTGTGGCCCTTCTCTGGACACTCTCCAGTAGCTTTATATCCTATTTATCCTGTGGCACCCAAAACTGCACACAGTACTCGAGGTGAGGCCACACCAGTGAACAGCAGTTATTCAAGACCTGTATCCAAGTTGTTAATGAAGACATTAAAGAGCACTCACCCCAGGACTGATCCATGCAGGACCCTGCTATTGACGGCTCACCAGCCCGATGTAACCCTATTGAGTATAACCCTGTTTCTCCAGATTGAATCTTTTTGAAAAGTTCTGTTGAAAATTGTGTCAAAATCACTACATTTGAGTAAGATAAATTTTCAGTTAGGGGGGGAAAAAAATAGTAGGAAATGACAGCTTTTAAAATATGTCATTTTCCAGCAAAATCTGACTGCAGTAAGCTTCTTCTTAACCAGAAGGGTTGAAGAGGCTCAGGAATAAAACACACAAACTAGCCTACTAGATGTCATTGCATACTTGCAGCTATTGCTGTTTTCCTCAAATATCAATAATGAGGTGGTTGTGAGCTCCGGATCAGTTGCATCAAAATGTTGGTCTATAAATTCATGAGACAAGAGCTATTCCAACTTCTTAGTAAATATGCATATTGGTATATAACAGGATTTGTGGTAACTCAGCTGGTCAGCTGTCTATATGGCATCGTTTAGAAACAGTTAGTACAGCTACATAACAAATTATTTGTAGATGTCCCAGAAATCCTTAAGGTAAATCAAGCTTTTATTCAAAGGGCTCTTATTTCACCTACATCTCCATTATACCAGTAATAACAGTATGCTCTGAGCTATGTTGTGCAGTACTTGAGTGAAAACTCACAATTGTTTACCTGGTAGATAAGGTTTTAAAAAAACTTGCTTAAAGGGTTAAAATGAAATTGTTACATCTTCCTGTTTACTTCAAAGGCTAATGCTGTACCTGTCTTTTAAGTTCTCCTTCCCAGATTGCCATTTCAGAGTACAAAAGAGCAAAGGAGGCACAGGTCGAGTGGTAATGTGGAAGATGGGCATCAACAACAGCTACACTCTGGAAGCCTCTACCTGTGGCTCTAAGTTGGGTGAGACAATTCCCTGTAGCTATTCAGTAGGAATCATCAAACAGGACATTTACTTTTGTTTTTTCATGGAAAACAGTATCTTGAGCTACCATCCCCTTGTTGGTGTTCTGTCTTATTGGGTAGAAATGAATGATGTTTTAAGATAAGAGCTGGACAAACACTAAAACTAGGGCATTCACCTGGCAACCTTTCAGGCTACCACTAGTGTTATTGTATAGGTATCATGAAACAACAATATAAGTGGATGGCAAATTAAAAGCAGTAACTAAAGCCAGTTGTATTTTTAAGAAATTTTGTAATAAGGAATCAGTTAACTATGCATTATAGCTAATCCCCTCTGAGGGGACAGATTTGCTCATATAGGCAGAATAGTGATCTCTAATATCATCTGTATAAAACTCTGGCAATCATAGACCTGTCAGTGAATGATAGGTGAGTTTACAGTCAGCCACCATCCTGAAATATCACAGATATGTAGCAGTCAGCAGGATGACTGACATTTTCATTTCTGTCTTGCTCCTATTGATGCTGCAGGCTGCAGACGAAGTACCCATTTCAATATGAAAGACTTTGAGTCAATAGGACAGCATTTCTGTGATGCTCTCTTGAACTACTGTGTTCATAACAAGGAGGTAAGGAAAGTCCCTCCTAGGCCTTGTCTCCTGCCTCAGTTCAACCTACTGTGACAAAACATAGTACTCTATAGGGTTATAGCAATAATAAATTTGATAATGGCTTTCTTTAAGCAGTAAACTAAATTTGTGGTGTTTATTATTATTATTATCTGTGCCTGAAGGAACACAATCAAGTAGTGAAACAGCAAGCCAGAGTGAACTCCAAGGTCCTGAATTCTGATGTGTCAGACTGGGATTCCAGGTAACTTAGAACTATTCAGATATGCCACAATTTATTATATGTTCTCTGCACCTCATAAAGAGTACCAGAGTAAATGTTAGAAATGTTACTAAAATCAGACTTTTGTCACACTCCTTAATTCAACACTCCTTAAAAGACTGCAAACAAATCTTATACCTAAACCTTAATAGCCAGTTCATTGGAAGTAGAGGTCTGTATCTATCCCAGATGGCCTTCCTGAGGAGAAATGAAACTGCATTTGTACAGCGCTCAGTCTATTGCATCTCTTAAATCAATATGCTTTTTTTCAGCCTTACATTTTGCAGAGCAATCTAGCCACAATATAAAGTGTGTTGTTTTGGTTTTGTGTAACGCTGATTTCATTAAGCATGGAAGATGCTACTCTGATTCCATTTAGCCAAAGGGGTTAAGTTCAGGGTAATTGGCAGCAGTGCAAGAATCTGTATGGTAACCAAACGATACATCTATTACACTTAATCAGCTCCTCCTGTGCCAGTGTGGACTGTGAGTGACTGACTACACGATCACTTGTACAGGTGATTCATGAGAGGTGGGCATTTACACGCTGTGAATAGTTGTGGCTTTGTGGTCATCTATTACGGAATAAAACTTTTGTACATTTCTTTTTTGGGGGAACATTAATAGGTTGGCTCTATCTCATCAAACTTTAGGTGCCCAGAGTATAGAAATCAAGAGCTGAGTTTCACAACTGGTGCTGAACTGCAAGGAAATAAAAAGAGACACAAGATCTTAATGTATCATCAGAGAGCTAGGAGAAGACTCACTGGGAACAAAGAGGATTGAAGTTCTGTGAGAGGATTTATGAAGGGATGGGGGGGAAGGTGTGTGAAGCAGAACTAAAAGAAACCTAGGTAGAAGCAGGTGATGCCATCTGGATAGATCACCTCATTTTCAGTAACCAAGCTTCCTCTAAGACAATGATGCCTGTTGCAGTTGTTATCCCGCAACGTCCCGTCCGGTCGAGGCGGCACAGAGACAAACACACACCCCGTCTCTGGG